AAAAAAAAAAAAAAAAGGAAATTTGTATTAAAGATATTTACTTTGAGGTGTTATTTTTTCTATATTAGGGATTGAACCCTATACTCACACATGCAAGGCAAATGTTCTATTACCGAGCTACATGCCCAGTGATTTTTAAATTTTGAGACAGGATCTCAAGAAATTGCCCAGACTTGCTACCATGAACTTGCTATCCTCTTGCCTTAGCCTACCAAGTACCTGGAATTATAAATGTGTACCACTTCGATCTCCCAGACACTTCTGACACTCCCAGACACTGGCTGAGTTGGGGAAGGAGTGGACCTCACAAGATCTCCCTTGGGGTCCCTTGGACTGGTGAGACTTGGGACTTGAGAAACAGGGTCTAAGTAATATCTTGGGGACACTAAGAGACCCTCTCACATTAGGATTAAACTGGAAAAAGCACTTGCATTGAGCACTAGGTCATTAGTTCCAGGGTAGGGAGAGCCCCACAGAGTTCAGAGACAGAGCTGTTGGGCCTAAAAAACTGCAGGGCAGGGGGAGATAAGGAGAGGACAAGGGAGGAGAGATAGGAAGAGGAGGAAATAGGGAGATACATAAAGTGGGTGGGTACCAGCAGGAGGGTGAGGGAGTCCCAAGGGAGGGGGTGAGGCAGCACTTGGCAGAGCTTTCCTTCTCCCCTTTTCCAAGGTCATATTCCGGAGGGACTCAGATGGCAGTCCCACCCGTTCTAGAGCCCATCTAGATTCAAGACTGTCTTGCACACTTCCACGGCCAGCAGCTCATCCCTCCTTTGGTTTCCCCTAAAACCTGGCATTTTTGTGACTGAATCTCCTAGATCTGGGGCATAGGAGACTCCCAGGAAATTTTCAAAGACCAGGGGCGTGGTAACTCCACAGGGACTCAGCTTGGGGTGTGGGCGGGGAATTCCACTCAGGCCAGTCTTCCGGGTAATTGTTCAGAGCCCCCTTGAGGACTGGGTGGCAGCAAAACTTCTGCCACTCCCCAAACACCAGAATCACCAAGGATGGAAGCTGCAGGGATGGCAAGTTCCCGATACCCGGTGTCAGTAAGGGCGGCAGCCCTGGTGCAGATGGAGCGGCCTCAGGTATGATGGCACAAGGTCCCTGCTTGTCCCAAGGGTGTGTTCTGTCCAGCTTCTCCTAGGAACCCTCAACCTTTCCTCACACAGACATTCGCCTTCTCTGTGCACTGGTCGGATGGCAGCGACACCTTTGTGTGCAGGAACTGGGATGCCTTCAGGCAGCTTCAGGCAAGTGACCCTGGGGCCACACAAATGGCAGTCAGTGACCCCACCGGAGGGTCTCTTTCTGTGGAAGGGTTCCAGCCCCTATGACCTCCACTCTCCCTGGGTGTACACTGGTCTCTCAGAGACTAACACCCCACTCTCCCTATCAGAAGACCCTCAAGACAACCTTTCCCGTGGAGGCAGGTCTGCTGCGGAGATCTGATCGCCTTCTCCCCAAGCTTCCAGGTCAGACCGCCAGGGTCCCAGGAGGTGTGAGGAAAGCAAAGCTGGGGCGGGGTTTGCGAGCTTCCCTAACGTGTCTCTCATGCCCTCAGATGCACCACTGTTTTCCCGTGGAGGGCGCACGGGCCATGGGCTTGCACGCCTCCGGCTGCTGGAGACCTATGCGCAGGCGCTGCTGGCCACTGTGGATCGAGTGTCACGAAGCCCAGTGCTCACAGGCTTCTTTGAGCCACGAGCCGGGGACTTGGAATCTGCACTGCCTCCTGGCAGGTGCCAAACCAGCCCCCTCTCCCAGCCCAGAGGCATTAAGAAGCCAGGATTGGGAGCCTGGGTCAACTCCTGAGGGTGGTGGGCCCATTCCCTCCCCCCACCCACTTGTTGCCTGTGCTGACTGCCCTCCCCAGCACAGTGATCCTGCCTGTCCCGGAGATGCCCTCACCCCACCCAGTGCACAGCCTTGACATCCACAGCCTGGAGGCTCAGAGCCTCTGCTGCGTGCACGCCTTCCACACTCAGGACACACAGGGCAGGCCCTTCCATGCAGAGGCTCAGGAAAGCCTAGACGTGCTGCTACGACACCCCTCAGGTAAGGCTGACAGGGAACTGGGGAATGCCCTTCTGCCCCTGGATCAGAGGTGGCCTCAAACCCAAGTCCCTCCCCTGCCTTGTCCACAGGCTGGTGGCTAGTGCAGAACGAAGGCGAGCAGAAAGCCTGGTTTCCAGCTCCCTATCTGGAGGAGGTGGGCCTGACACAGGGAAGCAGAGGTATGACCAGAGCCCCTATACCCAGGCCTGAGGACTGCCCCAAATGGGGAAAGACAGTAGCATATGCTCGATTTCCACAGCTGCAGTGAAGCTGAGTGGGTTTTGGAGTGAACCTAGGTGCCAGGGGAGGCAAGCCCAGAAAAGGCTGGAGCCCCTGGCCTCTGGCCACACCACCATGATCCACAAACACCCTCAGGGACCCAGTTCTGTGTTTCCCGTGCCTACAAGGGCAGCCGTGCTGATGAGCTGTCAGTGCCAGCAGGGGCCCGTGTGCAGGTGTTGGAAACCTCGGACCGAGGATGGTGGCTGTGCAGGTATGTGAGGGTGAGGCTTTGGCAGACCCAGCCAAAGGAATGGGGGAGGGACCATCTCTGACCAAGCTCTACTCTTCAGGTACGGTGACAGGACTGGTCTGCTCCCTTCAGTGCTGCTGCAACCTGAAAGACTGGGTGCATTCTTGAGTGGGCCAGCGATCCTTGGCAGGGAGTACAAGGAGAACAAGGCTACCACCAGTTCGCCTCCTGTGCCTGCTCGTCCCCCACTGAGTGCCATTCAGAGTCGCTGCTGCACTATCACACGTAGGGCACTGGCGTGGAACTCAGAGCCTCAGAATACACCTTGAGGTTGTGCGCTCACTCTGCAGAGAAGGTGGCTGTGTACCCCAACCCCAGGCCAAGCAGAATGCTCAGGATCCAGATCTCAGATGGCTGCATCACCCCCAGCCTTGGGAAAAGAATGGATGAGTTGGGAGGAGGGGGAATTCCGATTTCCTGAGTAAAATTTCTGGATGACTTTGCCTGATCTCACTGTGCTGACAGGAGGGCCCATGGAACCTCAGCCAAGCTGGGGGGTTGGGATGGGGTGATCTGCCACATGAAGACCATCAGGCACCAAGGTGCATCCTGGTTGGTGAGGGTTATGGCTGGGGACCTGGGGGAAGACAGCCTGGATCCACTGTGGATAGGAAAAGTATGCCTTTATGTGTCTCAAAGAGCTGGGGGGCTGGCAGGGAGAGGGGACAGCTTCATGTTGTGCCATAGGAAGTCCAAGAAAGTAGCTGCCTGCAGTGTCCGGCTGAGCCTCTGAAAATGCCGCTCTGGAGAGGACAGAGGGAGGTCAGGAAGTGCATGTACCCACCGGGCTGCTCCCATACCCAGGCTGTGCCTACCTACCAGTGTAGGGCAGCAGGGCCTCAAGAGCAGCCCGCACACCCTCATAGGCCAGAAGCTCCTCAGGGGCCTCATGTTGCAGCAGCACACTCAGCACTGCCTGCGCTTCGTGGCAATGCCGCGAGTTGGTGTTCCACGTCACACAGAAACGCAGCAGGGCCTCTGTGGGAAATAGGGACCGTCACCCTGCCTGCCAGGATATTCCACCCTCCTCCTGCCCGCCAAGCCACTTCTGCCGACTGGCTCCAGTCCACATGTCTAAGACCTTTCTGGTCTCGTCGCAGTCGGAGCACGGTGGTTTCTAGCTTCTCACAGGTCTCTGGGTCCCTCCGAATGGCTGTGGAGGAGGCAAGTCTGAGCTCCAGGAAGGGGTTCAATGGTCTCAAGTCTCCCCCAACCCTAGCCTGCCCCTGAGGCAAGCACTGACCCTGGATAACTGTCAGCACAGTGTGGGGCCGATCAAGGGAGATGGCCAGGCCTAGTGCCCGTAGGTACCGCTTTTCATGGAGCAGGTTGTCCAGTTCTTGTTGCCTGGTGGCGGGAAGCAAAAGATAAGGGCCAGCTGGACTGACTGGGGCTGAAGGTTGTCAGGAGGCCTGCACCTAGCAGCCACTGGTGTGAGCCCAGCCCACAGCTTCGGTGTCTTATACCATAAAGCAGGGCTATGCAGACACTCCTTAGTGCATGGGGGTGCTACTGCAGAGCCCGTGCTTACTTGACCACCTGCTCCTCCTGCTTGGCCTGCTCCTCTGCCTGTTCTGCCTCGGTCACATCCTGGGATGAGAATGGGGTTAGACAGGTGTCCCTATTACCTGCCCTGCCCACCTCTCCTCTCAGGACCCACAACCTTCCAGAGAATGACTCGGGAGTCGCTGGCACCAGTGAGGGCATGGTCATCTAGCTGGCTGCAGTGTAATCCCCAGACCTTGTCCTCGTGGGCATCCAGTGTTCGTACACACTCGTTGTTCTTGATGGTCCAAAGCTTCAGGAGCCCGTCTGAGCCACTGGTTTGGGGATGAGGGGCCTCAGTGAGAGGGGCCTGTTCCCCACCCCACTCCCACTCAGCCCCTAGCCCACTCACCTGGACAGCAGCTGTGTGCCACGGCTCACAAAGGTCACCTTCAGCACAGAGGCATCGTGCCCCTCAAATGTCTGCGGGGCAAGGGTGGGGACATGTCACCTAGTGAGATGTCACTGGGGGAGCCTGGACCAGAGGGGACGCTGCTTACCTTAAGGCAGCTGAAGTCCTGCAGTGACCAGAGCTTGATGGTACCATCAGCTGAGGCCGTGGCCAGCACCTGATCCATGGGTGAGAACTGAACACACCAGAGGCCACGTCGGTGGCCTGAGAAAACACCCAGCAGCTGGCACTGTGGCAGGGCCCAGAGCTTGGCTGTGCGGTCCTGTGAGCCTGTGGCCAACAGCTTGTCGTTGGGAGCAACAGCCACACTGTTGATATCCTGACGATGGGCAAAGGTGGTCATTCAGACCACTACCCCAGCAAGGGCTTGGCCACTGCCACCCCAGAGGCCATGCGTAGTCACCTTGTCATGACAGCGCTGGGTGGCCTGGGCCTGCAGAACGATGGGATCAGTGTCTGAGGCCGTGCTCTTGGATAGGAGAGCTTCAGGGAGGGGCCACAATTTCACAGTGCAGTCTTGGCTGCCTGTCACCAGAAAGGACTCCTTCAGCCTAGAGCCCAACAGGAAAGAGGACACTGCTGAGACCCAGACAGCACGCTCAGCATTTCATAGGAATGGCATCATGGAGCATGGTCTAGACCAGAGGGACTGGTCACGGATGCAAACTGACTCTGGTTCTCTGCATGCCCATCCACTCTCAGTGCACCATACCCAGAGGACTCAAGCCCTTGCAGGGTTTGCTTTCTCCCAGTGGGCCTTGTTCATTGCCATCTCTCCAGTATAATGCCCACCCTATTTTGTCTACCCAAGGCTACTTCTAAGGAATCCCCCGCACGTCCATGGCACCTGGGCTTTCTGGAGCCATTGTCTGTTTTACATCCCTGGGCTACAGCCTCAAAGAAAAAGGACCAAGCTGCTATCTCTTCCCTCTACCCATGAGATGGAACCCCACTGGTAGGCTTGGGTCTCCACCTTTTCTACACTTCTGAATCCAGCTGCAACCCTACTACCTGGAGCAGCAGATGGTGCCCACACTGTGTGTGTGTCCAGAACCCTGAGCCACGCAGGACACCTGGCCAGCCTTGTTCATCCTCCAGATGCGGATGCTCTGATCCTGGAGACAAGAGGAGTTGAGGACAGAGGTTGGGCTGTGGTCCCACTGCCTTCATTTTCTCTCCTAGAGAGTCTGTACCTCCACACCTTTTGGGGGACTGACCTTGGCACAGCTGGCAAAGAGCCACCCTTTCCGGAAGACATCCAGGGCCAAGACAGTGTCTACAAAACAGAAGGGAGTAGTCGGGCTCAAGTATGGTAAGGTGGAGGGAGTAGACAAAAATCAAATCCAGAATGGATTTTCAGGAGTAGCAGTGGGCTCCACTTGCCTGTATGGCCATGGAGGATCTGGCAAGCTGATGTCTGTAGCTCAAAAACTTTCAGGCAGGGGCTGTTGGAGGCCACAATGATGTAGGAGTCCTTGGGCCCAAGAAACCTGACATCTAAAACCTCTTCACTGTAGCCTGCAAACTGGATCAAGAAGGACATGAGTTGAGCCAGGGATTTAGTTCAGTGGTTCCGCCACCTGCCTCGCGAGCAAGAAGTCTGGAGTTTGGTTCCCAGTACAAAAACAAACAAAAAAAAGACATGAGTCAGGACCTGTATGAGTAGAGGCCTGGTGCCTTCACCTTGGGCCAGACAGGCTCATGTGCTCACCTGTTTTTGCAGCTGTAGAGAGGATGCTTCATAGAGTACCAGGTTGTGGTCAGCAGTGACACTGAGGAGCAGGTCAGCAGTGCGGGCTAGGGAGCAGTGGGTCAGCTCTCGCCCTGGGCCTGACAGTTTTGGCTGGGCATACACACACTGCCCAGAAGCTGCTTCCCACACACGTAGTATGCCTGCATGGGGAGAGCTGCTTGGACTTACAGACCCACAGACCTACCCCAGATCCCGTGGCCTGCCCATGACCAGCCCTATTACCTTGGTCACCAGCTGTCAGGAAGTGCAAGCCTGAGTTCTTCACACCTACCGCAGGAGCTAGCTCTTCTGGTAGCAGCACAGCAGCCTCCACACTCTGGGGATGCACTAGTTCAGAGGCTGCAGCTATTCCCCACTCCACCACTGGCCCACCTCACTAGCCCTGACCTGCAGTTGCCCATACCTCAAACACTGGCACAGTCTTTGTGGGCTGGTGGCTCTGAAGGTCCCACACAATGCAGATCTTGTCACGGCCGGAGCTGGGGAGAAACAGCCCCCTCAGTTCTGGAGTCTCAGCATTTGCACCCACTGTCTGTTTCCCTGCCTCCCAAGACCTGCATGGCTTTGCCTGTCACCTACCTCAGCATGCTGTTGCCATCAGCACTGAAGGCCAGGGAGGTAACAGCACTATAGTGGGCAGTCAGTACGGCCAGGCATGAGCGGTCCTGCAGTGACCACACACGAATGGCAGCATCCGCAGCTGAGGAGAAGAGCAGCAGGCGAGTGGGGTCTGGGTGGAAGGCCACCAAACTGCAGATAAGACAGGGAATGGGTGAGCTGTGCCACCCAATGGTGGTGCCTCTGCTCCCACCCTCTGATTTCCCCCACTCACTGCACGACACCAGGTGAGCTCCGGAAGTGGTGTGTCCCGTAGTGCTGCACCACATCCCAGACACGCACAGCCCCATCACAGCCCCCTACGGGAACATTATTGAGGTGAGTGAGTGGGTATGTCCAAAGCCCCTGCCCCTGTCCCTTCCAGTTCCCCTGCCTAGCTGGGGTCCTACCTGTGGCCAGCAGTGTGGACGTGGGGTCAAAGGCCATGGTGGCCACAGGGGCTGTGTGTATTGCTTTCCATAGACGAGTAACACTGCCTCCTCGCCAAGCCCACTGAGCCAACAGCAGAGCCCGACTGGCTGTCACCAGCACCTGAAGGAGGGTGCAGTTCAGTGTGAGGGTGAGGTACCCTCATGTCTTGGTGTGGGAGAGAAGTACCAGAGCTCCCTTTCTCCCCCTGGCCCACATACCTCATCATCGGGGCTGAGGTCAAAGGCAGTGATATCTTCTTGGTCCTCCTAAAGGAAGGAACAGGAATAGAGTGCCATTAGGACAGGCTGCCCTTTCTACTAACCCCTTCACCCTTGCCCTAATTCTCACCTGTTCTAGGCTCTGTAGTACAGTCCCAGAGGCCACATCTAGGACATTGACTCTGGTACCACAGATGCAGAAGAGGTGCTTGCCTGTCTGGTCCAGCTAGGGATACAGAAGATTCAGATTAAGCCACTACTAGGTAGCCTTACGCAGACCCCGCCTTCCTTTCAGGGATGGTACCTGTGCTTTCCCGCCCTTGTAGAAAGGCTCAATCTTGCGCTCCACAGCATAGCTGAGAAAGGAACAAAGGAGTATGATCACTCACTCTCTTAGCCACTAGTTCTTAGTCGTGGGCTGAGTAGTCTCTAGAGGTGAACCCAACAAGCCCTTGTCCTTGCAGGATTCCAGGGCAGCAGCAGGCAACCCAGAGGGACAAGTAACAAATTTGTGTGTAGGAGGCACTACAGTACTCCCATGTTACAGAAAGGCCAAGACATTGGACATTAAGAGGTGGGCCAGAGTCAAGCAAAGGAGCCCAAAGGCAGTTTTCAGACCAAGAGGCCTTGGGAGGTCATCCCTACCTAAGGCACCATCCTTCCTGGCACACCCCCACACTGGGTAAAGCACCACTCCTCTTCACCCTAGAACCCTCTAATCCTAGCTTCACTTGATGCTCCTCCCCAAGCAGCTGTGAATTCTGTGACCTCATGCTATCTACAGTTCTGTTCCCTCCCTCTCCCCCTGGTTCAGGCCATTGCAATCTCTCCCAGATGACCATTCCAACCTCTTCCCTGGGCATGCTACCTACTCTCTCAACCCTGCTGCCAGTTACCTCCAGAGCAACTATCTCACCAGCTTGCTTAAAAGCCTCCCCTCTCCTAACACATCTCTCAGAAGTCCCAGAAGGGTCTCTGCCCACCTTTTTTGTTCTCTGAACCCACACAGCAGCCCCTTGCTCTTGGCCCAGTTCTGTGATAAGACTTCTATCCTCTGCCTGTGCCCTGTGTATGTTCTGGTCATCTCTTCAGATTCCAGTGCTGGGCAACTGACTCCTTAGGAAGCCTGCCTGCCACACTCTGCATGCCAGATAGTTCTCCAACAAAGGTGTTGTCACCAATGTCTTTTCTTTGCTAGTGCTTATCACAACCCAAGCCCCACAGTCACTGATGGGCTGAGTTTATTCCCAGCACTAGTCCTTCAGCACAGGCTGAGGGACTGAATAATCAGAGGAATCAGGCCTCTCTCCGAACCCACCCACCTCCGGACCCTTTCTGCTTTTAGGAGAAGCGGGTCCACAGGAGAGACCTCCCCTGGCCGCCTACCCACTGAAAGGTCTTCAACTCCCATCATTCAGGACCAGCCCCAACTTGCGCTCCGCTCGTCACTTTCTCTTCCCCCGGGGTTTCTTTTTCCCACGTCGCGGAACTAAAACGTACTCCTTCGCTAAGCAAGTAAACGACACCAGGTTCACCCAGCCTGTCGTCCTCCAGACAGCAGTCTGTGAGTTGGTGCAGGGTTTCCAGCTTTCCATCGCCGCAGCCTCTTTTCACTACCCTGCGGGCCAGGTGCCCCACCCCCCGAACGAAAGGGTCCCCAGTCCACCGCAGGCGTCGCTCCACGCGCCTCCAGCAGCGAACCCGCGCCCCTTCCCAGGTGGCCCCCGCCATCCCAGCCTTACTTGGCCTTGAAGCGGCCAACTCCGGCCGCAACTTCAGCCATGCTGTTTCCAACGTCACTGCCGTCTGGACCCTCTACCTCCGCCGCGTGAGACCTGGGCGCCACTCCAGATCTCGGCGCGCGGAGATGACGTCAGACCCGGCAGTACCGTGATGTCATTAGCATAGCGCCTTGGGCGCCACCATTGTTGTGGGAAGTGGCTACTACGTCCGAAAGTGGAAGCCGGTGGAGACGTTTCCGACCTGGATGGAGGGTGGGATGTGGAGGGACTAGGCTCCAACAGGGCAATTGAATGGAACCTTAAAAGGCCAATGGAAGTATTTACTTTTGGTGCGTAGAACTCTGAGGTGTGGGGGCCGCCGCGGTCGGCCAGTCTGTACAAAAGACATGGAATAAGTCAAATCAGGTAGTTCCAGAGACATTCAAATATTTCGTATCTTCTGTGTGCAAAACAGTTTTAGTCGCTTGAAAGAAACCAGGAAACAGAAACTCCTGCCCTCCCGTAGGCTCATTTTCCAGTGGGTGAAAGGGAGAGTGGGCAGAGGGGCAGGGAATACTAAATGATTAGGGCTGTGGAAACAGCTTCCTGAGATGGGGAGGAGATGTAGTTTATTTTCTTTTTCTTTTCCTTTCTTTGACAGAGTTGAAGGTTGAACTCGGATTTTTGTAGTTTCTTAAAAGTTTTGCTGAGTTTCCTAGAGTGGAGTCAAACCTGTGATCCTCTTGCCTCAGCCTCCCAGAGGACCATACGAAAGATGCAATTTTAGGGCCAGGGATTTTTAGCTCAGAGGTGCCACCCTTGCCTCGCTAGCGCAAGGTCCTGAGTCTGTTCCCCGGCACCAAAAAAAAAAAAAAAAAAAAAAAAAAGGTGCAATTTTAAATCTAGTGTTGATGGGCTGGGTGATTTAGTTCAGTGGCACCTGCCTCACAAGCACAAGGTCTGGAGTCCCATCTCCCATTCCAAAAATAAAATTAAAAAACCCCATGGCTGCACTGAGTGACACCTGAGCACTTAGTGAAGCACGGAGCCCTATGGTTTTCTGGTGATGCTAATACACAGGATGACGGGTTGGAGAGGAGTTGATTCTTATGTACATTGAACAAAGGATAGCAAGAATACATCCGATGGTAAAAGGTGTGCTCAGAGAGTACAGGTTCATGCCAGCAGAGAAAAAAAAGAGTGGCATGAACAAGTGAAAAAAGCGATGCCTGGACTGTGATAGAATAGGGAGAAGAAAAATCAGTCTTTTGGATTTAAAAGATGTGCGCCCTCAGCCAAGTGTGGCGGTACACCCCTATAATCCCAGCATTCAGAAAGCTTGAGGCAGGATTGCCTTGAGTTTTAGGCCAGCCTGAACTACACAATAAGATTCTGCATCCAAAAAAACAAACAAACAGGTCAGTGGCTATAGTCCCCCTCTGGAGGACTCCTGAGGGCAGGTGAAAAGGCAGAATCTGTGAGCCACTATGAGGGCAGCTTTTACTCTGAATTCAAAGATTTGAGCTTTTAGTACCACTTATTATAATGCTGGTAAAACAGATGGGTAGGAAGGAGACTAGGAGAGGAGACTAGACTTGTACATGGAAAGACATTGAGGGAAAAGAAGTAGGCAAGTGGGGAAGCTGAGGCAGAAGATTGCTGTGAATTCGAGACCAGCCTAGGCTACATAGTGAGTTCCAGGTCAATCTCAACTACATAGTGAGACCCTGTCTCAAAAAACCAAAATAAAGCAAGCAAGCAAGCAAGCTGCATTGCATCAGTGTCAGATTTTTCTTTTCTTTTTTTTTTGGAGACAAGGTCTCACTATGTAGTTGAGACTGCCCTGGAACTATGTAGCCCAGGCTGGTCTTGAACTCACAGCAATCCTCCTGCCTCAGCCTCCAGAGTGCTGGGATTACAGGCATGCGCCACCACGCCTGGCAGTGTCAGATTTCTTAAACTTCTCAAACAAAAAAACCCACAAGGGAAAAAGGTCAAAGTGCCCTGGGGTAGCCAGGTCATAGCACATGCCTGTATTCCAGCACTCTGGAGGTAGAGGCAAGAGGATCGCTGAGAATTCAGGAACAGGCTGGTATATACAGTGAGACTCTGCTTCCAAAAAAAAAAAAAAAAGTGCTCTCGGGTGTGTTTGTGAGAAGGGAGTAATGAATGCCTGGGGAGGTCAACAGGGCTAAAGAGTGACACAGAGGAGGCAAGGTGGGTCAGGCCTAAGCTCCACATTTATTTACCCCTCTATTTCTAAGGCATCTTGGCCCTGTGCTTCCCACACATGAGCCCCAACACTGCCTTCTGGGAGCACATCAGCTACACGCATGGAATCATCCTCTAGGATGTGGCTGAGCTGGGCCAGCTGCCGGCGTATGAGGCTGGATGCGCGGTGCACTCTACGTACACGCCTCAGCAGTCTGTGCAGCAGCATCTGGCTGCGTTCCTGTCGCTCACTCCAGGCCTCCCGAAGCTTGAGGTAGCAGTTGTAATGAGCAAGCTCTGTTGTGCCCAGCATGGCCCCACAGCCTAGAGGGCAATGCTGGCCACCCTGATGGCAGTGCTGCTGGTGTTCAGCCAGGGCACCACGCAACACCTGAGCAGAGCAGCCTTCACTGGGACAGGTGATCAACTCAAACGGGCATGAGTCTTGGTGCCTCTTGCGGTAGGCCAGGGGATATGTCACCGAGCAGCCAGCTTCAGCATTCTTGCACTGCAGGTGAGAGAAAGCTGTATGTGAGCCAACCCAGGTAAGGCATTGTTAGCTGGGTCCTCATGGAATGTCATCTATGATATGCCACTGAGCCAAGAATGAGTGATCTAGAAGCCTCCTGAGCAAAGCTGGGAATGCTTGGGAGTCAGGTAGATGTTAGATGTTTCAGGAGGGTATGAGCCTCAGTCTTGAAGAACAGGGAAGTTTTTGTTATTTTTTGAGACAGTCTGGCTATGTAGTTCAGGCTGGCCTCCAACTTGTGGAGATCTAATTGCCTCTGCTTTCTGAGTGCTGGATTACAGGTGTGTGCTATCATACCTTGTTTAAGAATAGGGAAGTTGCCAGAGATTTAGCTCAGTGGTGCTACTGCCTGTCACACAAGTGCAAGGTGCCCAGTTTCATGCCCAATACCAAAAAAAAAAAAAAAAAAAAAGGAAGTAAGGAAGTAAATGGGATGTAGTGGAATATGCCTGTAATCCCAGCACTCAGAAGGTGGAGGAAGGGGGATTGCTAAAACAACAACAAAAACAACACCAAGACAACATAGGTAAATCAGTAAGGACCCAGATGTAGCTCAGTGACACCTTTCTTGCCTAGCAAGCCCAAGTTCCTGAGTTTGATTCCCCACACCAAAAACAAAAACAAAAACAAAAAAAAAAGGGGGAATATGTCTTTGTTGGGCTTGTGATTGGAGTGTCAGGTTTTTTTTTTAAAACCAGGATTTTGTGACTGCTAGGCAAGTCTACTCCTAGCCCCAAGTTTTTTTTTTTTTTTTTTTTTTTTGGTGACAAGGTCTTGCTCTATAGTCCAAGCTGGCTTCAAATTTGTGTCAATTCTCCTGCCTCAACCTTCCAAGTGCTAGGATTACAGGTGTGTGTGTTCTCATGCCTGGATGTTTTGTTTTTTAGTCTTAGATTCTAGCCAGGTGTGGTGGTATAGTCCCGTAATCTCAGCACTTGAGAGGCTGAGGAAGTTTGAGGCCAGCCAAGACTACATAGTGAACTCAATGCCAGACTGAACTAGTGAGAACCTGTCTCAAAAAAGGAAACAAAAAAGTCTCGATTGCCCTGTCAAATTAGAAGGCTGAAGAGTAATGGCCAGCACACCAGGCACTCCATCCTCTATAATCCCCATTTACAGCTGAATCCTAGGATTTTAGAAACGTTAAGTAACTTGTCCTAGATTTCAGGGCAAGGAAGTAGTACAGCCATGATTCAAACTTCGCCAGGCCTGCTGGTCTGCTGACCCCTAGGATGCACTGGGTTCTTGGAACTACACAGTTCAAGACTGGCCTTGAACTCACAGCAATCATTCTGCCTCAGCCTCCCGAATGCTGAGATTACAGCTGTGCACCACTATTTCTGGCCTGCACTGGGCTCTTTCTGTGTTTTCTTTCTTTTTTGGTACCGGGAGTTGAATTCTGGACCTTGCACTTGCAAGGCAGGCAGGGCACAGAGCTTTTTGGAAGATGGGTTCTCCCTTCCCCTTCTGGCTCTGCCCCACCCCCACAAAAATGAGGACAGTGGAGGTGCAGAGATACCTTGACTTCTAGACGTTCAATGGTTTTCCGGAGTTTATTCACATGGACCATTTTTCTTTTCACCTCTTTCCTGCAGCACGGACAGGTGTTTTGTCTGGAATGAGGCAGAGGTAGGAATGGGGTTGAATGCTGGGCATGGAAAGGGGTCAATTAAGAGGTGATAAAGCTGCTGGGTTAACTCTTCATCTTCACTAGGTGATTCAGGTGGTCCCTTCTCCAAATGAAGGCATGAAAGCATATTATAGCAAGCTTTCAGCTCCAGACCTGGAGCCAGGGAATACAGACACCATAGACTGAGGAAACCCGAAAACTTTGGTGTCCCAAGTTTTGTGGCTAAGTCTTATAGCCATTGAGATTCAATGTTGGGCAAACTTGCCTTTTTGGGCCACAATGGTCCCCCAGACCTCCCAGCTCCCTGGGTATACCGTGGCACCTGGCTAGCCACTGGAGAATGCATTTTTTGCAGAAGATGTGGCTGCATGGCAATCTCACTGGCCTCTTGAGAACTCCATGGCAGACAGAGCACAGGAACTTGCAGTCAGGAGGGCTGGCAAAGAGGTTGAGATCATACCCACTACTCTGCAAAGACCAGGTCAATATTAGGCCTCACTGGGATCAGGCCCAGAGGTCTCCACTAAACATGTCCAACAACACCTTTGCACTCTCTGAGAGGGAAGAGTCTCATATAGGTGTCAGCACTACTTGGAGGGAGCAGTTCAGTAGTCAACTCCCAAGACTACAAATGTGGGCTGCAGCTGGGATGCCCCTGAGCCCCAGCTAAACCCTCCTGAAAGGTTTCCTCTTCTTTTAATCCACTGTCCATCCTCTCAGAGTAGTGAGCTCTATCCTTGGACTGCTGTGCATCTGTCCAGAGTTGGGCAAACTAACCCTGAATTGGAAGCAGATGGCCCCAGGCTTACCATGATCTGTGTCTGGATGGCAGCTACACTGATACCCAGGGCTCAGAAGTCTCCATTTCATAGCGGGTGTAGGCTGACATCACAGTGGCATTGTCTACTGTGACAGCTCAGGCCAATCAGTTGGGCCCAGGGCTCACTGGGACTCTGCACCACCTTAGCTACTACTAGCTGCCCTCTCTGAACATAAGCAGCAGGACAGATCTATGAACCTCTCCTTGCCTTGGTTGCGGCTGGCAACTTATCGCCAGCAGCATTCAGCAGGGAACCAAGGTCAGCAGAATCAAAGGGACTGCTGCCTCTCATAGTCCTGCCCAGGCAGCCCCATCTCCAAGAGCTCAGAGGATTCAGACATTAAACCATGGGTTCTCTTCACTAGCATCCAAACTGGGGACATGGCTCCATGGAAATCGACTAAATCCCAGTGCAACTTGTAGTGTCTCTCCCACCCAAGGCAGGCATACCACCTGGGTAGACTTGTGAGGAAGGGTCTGATAATATATGTTCCTGCGACTCAACATCTCTGGATGCAAACTATCTCAGCCCAAGCAGTAACAACTCTTTCAGGGTTACAAGAACAGGAACCCACTGAAAACTCACTAGTTAAAACAAAGGTATCACCTACCACCCTCCCATCATTACTTTTGTAGTGTCCCAGGCAGAAGAGGGCCGGCATGGGTTAAGACATCCCACTAGCGCTTCCCCAAGTCACAAAGTGTACAAACACAAACGCATATTTCACTTGGACAGGTAGATGTAAGCTCCAAAACAAGTTACACGCGAAAAACAATTTTTATTTGAAAAAAAGGGATAATCGGACCGGGGATTTAGCTCAGTGGCACCATACCTGCTTCGCCAAGTGCAAGGTTCTGAGTTCGATCCCCGGTACCAAAACAACAAAAAAGCGGGGACAATCGAGCTCTCCTGTGCCCACGCTGTCCTAGCGGCGTCGGCCTCGGGGCAACCCAGAGTCCTGCGGAAAGAAAGGGGTCAGAGGTCCTAAGGCCGAGGCCAGGCAGGGCGTGGGGCCGCCGGGGCTGTCGGGGCCGGGGTTTCACCTTTCCACACCGGCAGTGGGCAGTGAGCTAAGGCCCCCAGACACTCTAGGCGCCGAATCTTACCCGCGACTATGGCCAGAGCCGGGGGTTATTTTCAACAAACGCCAGACTCTAAACTACCAGCAGGTACGTGGGGCGGGTCACGCGGTTAAACTTACCCGGAAAGAACCAAAGCTTGCGTCGCCAAAGGAAATCAAAAGACCAAGGTAGCGTGGGCCCCGGTAATTATACCAGCTCCCCACCTGCGCACGCGCAGGTTGAGGTCCGCGCAGGCGCACGCAGAGCTAATCGCTGTCGCCGAGGGACGCTCGGTGCGCTCGGGGCGGGGCGACCGAGATCTCGCGGGGTTTTGTGGGATATAAAAGTTACTTCTCGGAGTGTCTCGTTCTTCTTCCTCGGGAAAACACGTGAGTTGTTTTTGTATCGTGGTGGCGCAAACCTAATACGGTGGGAATCCGCCGACATCCGGCCAGGGACTGGCCGTTAGGGTGTGTGGGGCGGCCGCAGAGACCCGAGCCTCACTGTTTCTTGTCGCTTTTTGCAGCAAATGGCGGATGACGCCGGTGCAGCGGGAGGGCCGGGAGGCCCCGGGGGCCCAGGCATGGGAGGCCGCGGCGGCTTCCGCGGAGGCTTCAGCAGTGGCCTTTGAGGCCGGCCCGAGGCCGAGGCCGTGGGACTCACAGCGGTAAGACGGAGGACAATGAGTGGATTCCTGTCACCAAGTTGGGTCGGCTGGTCAAGGACATGAAGATCAAGTCCTTGGAGGAAATTTATCTCTTCTCTTTACGCCTCAAGTTGGGTCGGCTGGTCAAGGACATGAAGATCAAGTCCTTGGAGGAAATTTATCTCTTCTCTTTACCCATCAAGGTACCGTTGCGACGGCCAGCCTCCTCCCCGGGAGAGTCATTCCGGCGGTGGGCAGAAGGTTCAGATCTGTCATGGTCACCTTTGAGAGGGTCTCCGAAAGGTGGCGATTGCGAGAGAGCGTGTGTGCTTTGATTCGGCTGGGATTAAGGAACGGGTTTAACTTGGAGAGAAGAGGCTGTCTTCTTACCTTGATAATTTTTTTTAACGTTTTTGCCAAAAACTTGCTTGTTTCAGGAGTCTGAGATTATTGACTTTTTCCTGGGCACGTCTCTCAAGGATGAAGTTTTGAAGATCATGCCGGTGCAAAAGCAAACTCGTGCTGGCCAGCGGACCAGATTCAAGGTATCAGGACCAGTTTGTCTCTTGTCTGGGCTGTGTGTGTATCAAAAGATGTGTGGGTGATACTCTCTTCACTCTGCATGGTTGCACTAGTTGTGGTGTGACTTTCGTACCGGAGAGAGAGAGAAAGGAGCTCTTCAGGACCTTGAATTGGCCTCCTGGTGGCCTTTCTTTCCTTGAGGGGCACAACAGGCCTTGCATGGTGGTGGCTGCTTATCCTGTGGAGAACTACTAGCTACCTCATAGTCTTTTCACAGGCATTTGTTGCTATCGGGGACTACAACGGTCACGTCGGTCTGGGTGTAAAGTGTTCCAAGGAAGTAGCCACTGCCATTCGCGGTGCCATCATTCTGGCCAAACTCTCCATTGTCCCCGTTCGGAGAGGCTACTGGGGGAACAAGATCGGCAAGCCTCACACTGTCCCTTGCAAGGTAGGCTGGGTGGTGGTCATGGGCCTGCGGTGGAGATGTCCTTGGGCACTTTTTCTTTTTTTTTTGGTACCAGGGATCGAACTCTGGTCCTTGCACCACTGAGCTAAATCCCTGGCCCGTTTATTCTTGATTTTCTCAGGTGACGGGCCGCTGTGGCTCTGTGTTGGTGCGTCTGATCCCTGCTCCCAGAGGCACTGGCATCGTGTCAGCCCCTGTACCCAAGAAGCTGCTGATGATGGCGGGCATTGATGACTGCTACACTTCTGCCAGGGGCTGCACTGCTACTCTGGGCAACTTTGGTAGGTGGTCCACTTTGAGGGATTAGCATTGACTTCTCTCAGCTCCGCTGGATCACACAGGCCCAGTGTGTGCTTGGCGTATTTTACGGGAGAGAGAGGAAGGCCCTCCTAATGCACGACAGACCTGCCCCAAAGTGGCCTCTCTGTTCCTAGGAGTGCAACACAGCTTCTGGTTTGGGAGTGGGTATCTTGTCTCAATGAGGGTCTCGCCCACCTTTCATTTCCTTGTGTTTCTGTTCCCCAGCTAAGGCCACCTTTGATGCCATCTCCAAGACCTACAGCTACCTGACCCCGGACCTCTGGAAGGAAACTGTCTTCACCAAGTCTCCCTACCAGGTATTGCAACTGTTGACTTGTCATGAAGTTGGGGATTATTTTGGTCATGCATGCTTAAGGATGTGTATTAACACAAAGCTTTTTTTTTTTTTTTTTTTTTCTTTCATCTTGTGAAAACTCACACCAGAGTCTCTGTTCAGAGGACTCAGGCTCCAGCAGTAGCTTCAACATAAGGGTTTTTACAAAATAAAAATGAATGAAATCTGTCAATTGTTATCTTTTTTTTTTTTTTGGCCTGTCAACCATACATGTAGTGATGGCTTAATCTGGAAGGGGCAGATGTGATGAAAAAGGGATATAAAAGTGACACCAGAAACAGGCAAGGATGTGTACCACTTTATTTCAGCACACAAAGGTCAGTCGAGGGTTGCTCTCACTGTAGGATCAGACAGCATCAGTCTCCTTGGTAGCTTTTTTCTCTGCCAGCATCCTCTGCTTCTGCTTTGCTAGACATTTTCTGGCAGAATAATGGGCTCCCAGGTCATTATCTGGGAAATAAACAGGCAGGAGTGGTTTAGCGATTAGTTCACTCAAAACTGGAAGAACTGGGGTGTTGGCTACGTGCAGAGGAAAGGCTAGTCAGTCAGAATCACGCATAGTGACTTAATAGTTGTGAGGAGACTGGAAAACCTGGTAGCAAGCAAGGGTAAGAGCCGCCGAAGGTTGGGTCAGGGGTGGGAGCTCACTTACAGCGATCCTGGTAGGCCTTAGCCACCTGGTTAAACTGTTCAAGCTCCTTGGCACAATTCTGCTGGTAACTCTCTCCTTCTCTCTGCTGACAGGCCTGAAGCCTCTCTTGGATAATATTGACAATTTCTTGATCAACTATGCTGGAAGAAAAAGGCTCTGCCTAAGTGGGAGGGTGAAACAGGAAAAGCAGGACCTCAGGGGCCCTATAGTCTGCCTCATCTCAAGAAGGCACTGGCTGCAAGTGAGGCCTTTCTGTTGCACCCCCACCCCCAGTAAGTTAGGGCCCACTCAGCATTCCCTGCTATTTACTTACTAGTCCCTTCTCCATTGCATTTCAGCTTCAAACATGCACAGGATATCTTTCTCCTTGCACTCTGTAATGTCTGGCACACGGCGGTACTCCCGGTGATAGTAATAGTATCTGTTCTTGGCATGCTGCTGCTCTATAAGATCTGTAAAGAAAAGCTGGGGGATTTAGCTCAGTGATTCTGCCACCTGCCTTGCAAGTGTAAGGTCCTGAGCTTAATCCCCGTACTAAAAATAAAAAGCAAAATCTGCAAAATAGAAATCCCAGACTCAATTGCCCCATGGATTTGGACAGGTCCTTAACTGGGAAGGAAGTAGTCTCAATGTTCTGAGCTTTTACAGACTCTTAACAGGTATGGGCCAGCACTGGTCTGTGAAGGAGAAGGCTATAATTGATGCCCAATACCCTGAGAGTTCAGCCACACGATTTCCTGTCATGACCACAACAACCCTGCAGGCCAGGTCCTCTTCATTCATAGATGGGACTAGGACTCAGAAGCAGCAGGGAAATTGCAGGGGAGGATTCAGAATCCAGTTCTGCAAGCCCACATTTCCAGCGCAGGGACCCTACTGTGTAGACAAAGAGGCCCGGAGTGGAAGCCACCAGCAGAAATTCCACTTCCCACTGTGTAGATAAAGAGGACCTGACAGGAGATAGCAGAAATCCCACTGTGAACGAGCTAAACTCATGTATCCAAAGGTTTCTGAGAAGGGAAGCTGGCTCCATTGCACTCAACTCTTGAAGGTCTGGTTTGTGGATTCCATCTTCCTAACCTGCCTGGCGTGGTGCTTGCAGGCCCATAGTCCCACTTCCAGAGGATAAACTAGCAGGATGGGTTGAGTGCAGTTCTGGGTCAGCCTGGGAAACAATGAAGCTCTGCAAAAACAAGCCAGGCGTGGTGGTGCACTCAAGAGGCTGATGCAGGAAGATCCTGCAAATTTGAGGCCAGCCTGGACTACATAGTAAGTTCAAGGTGAGTTCGCACTAGTGTGATGTCAAAACAAAAAAACCACCACCACCACCTAAGAAGGCTGTGCACCCCAAATGTTTCCTCGTTCAACAAATGAGTTGCTTCATTGAATGGATGAAGTGCCTGGCACTTGTAACGGTTGGCACAGTGTGCTCTTGCTGTTGCCTGCGAGGTTGGCAAACAGGATCAGAAAGAACTTCATAGGGCCGGGGATTTAGGCTCAGTGGTTCCGGCCACTGCTTCGCAAGCGCAAGGACCTGAGTTCAATCCCCAGTACAAAAAAAAAAAAAAAAAAAGGAAAGA